AATGAAAATGAGACCAATTGGACCAATCACCGCAGACTAGCGTCACGCAAATGAGGGGTTTGGAAAAATGAATCGTTGAGGGAATCATTTGGGAGTCGTTGAGCAAATAAGGTAAAAATAAATGCATATTATAAGACAATGAAAGTGTTTTTTGACCTTGCATGCATGTCAACCTGTTGTTGGGGACTCTCAAAACCAAAATATGAACCTTTCATTACCCATAATAGGGGCACTTTTAACATTGTCCGTCTTTTTGGGCGACAGGGTCGTAAAAATTCCGTCATAATCTATTATTACCCGTCATTTTAATTTTCATATTTTAATTATGAAAAATACACACTTACTGGTAAAAAATGTATAGCCTGAATGCACTGTAAGTCGCTTTGGATAAAAGCGTCTGCTAAATGCATAAATTATTATTAATTATTAAATTCATTATAATAACACCTTTAATTGCTTATATTTTTGTTCACATTTTCATTTTTAATAATGAACCTACAGGACGAGCATATATATATTTATGATGAGAACTGATGAACAGAGACTGTGAGTACTTCTCATATTCAACAACACACACCGCAGTGACAGCAGAGGCCACTAAAAACAACGAAAATGCTAGGGCTGGGTAAAAAAAACGATTTCTCGATTTTAATAGATTCTCATTTTTATGAACCAATATCGATTCTTAAATCCCAATCGATGCTGTTTTCAGTTGATGAATGAACCGTACATATAGTGCGCCTCCCATCCAATAAATCGCAATGGGCTAAGCTTTGTGCGTTGTTACTTTTGATATGAAAACGTCTCGGATTTCAAATTCCGTCCACCAACTGGACAGGGTGGGAATTACAGTTATAAATTACAATAGATCACCCTCAGTGTAATCTGAATTTCGTCAATGACGGAAAACTTTTCGGTAAACGTGACTGCTGGTTCACACCAAACCCAAAGTGAATATGCGCATCACGTCACTCACTCTCGATTAAATGTGGGATGTTTTTTGTGTCACTTGTGCAAATAAAAACATTGTGTGATCAACCATATAGTGGAGATAACTACGATCGCTGCTTTGTACCTGTTGTGAAGTCCCAAATACGCAGGAAAGTGTCTGGTTTCACAGCACCATCCAGAGGTGGACGAGTATTGATCCTGCATTAATGTGCGTTACATTTTACTACTGTATATATACTGACATTTTTTTTTATTGATAGCAGCATCTCTGTAGCCATGCTAATAAAATGCAACTAGGCAACTACTACAACTGATTTTATTGTTAAATATGTATATATATATATAAACCTTGCTACGTGTACTGCGTTAGGCTAACCGAGACTTGTCTTGTTGCTCTTTTGTTAGTTTTGACTGCTTTTATTGTCCTCATTTGTAAGTCGCTTTGGATAAAAGCGTCTGCTAAATGACTAAATAAATAAATAAATAAATATGTATGAACGATTTTTAATGTTTTTACAGGAGTTTCTTATGCTCATACAAGTCTTACTGATCCCAAACTTTTGAACAGTAGTGTATTTTTTAAAAATTAAACAATGTATTACTGAACAAACTGCTCTTTCTTTAAATAAATTCAATTAGAATTAAAATTTTCTTTAAATCTACCTCATAAAATAAAAAAATCTACCTCTGCTCTAAACTATAGGAAGCCCTTTTACATTAGGCCTACTATAAGGTTACAATTAACAACAGAGCCCAAACTTAAATTTAATTACTATTTATTTTTAACTATAATAATCAACACTCAAATTAAAAAACATGTAAATTGCACTCAATGCAGTTTTTGAATTAACTTCTAAATTATACAATTTCTATTTGTTGTTGAAATATAATCATTTACACAGTGGCTGTCATAACTTGTTTCATAAAAGATTTATTTAAATATAGCCTACATTAAATAATGAAGACATCTCTAACAGGTAAAGTATGAGGTAAATGAAATGCTACGTGACATACAAGCCGTTTTAATCACATCCTTCCACAAATGAAACACTGATTGAGTGATTCCGTGAGGTATGTAATTACACACCATTACACTCTCAGAACCTTCAGATTTGTATTTCATTTCGAGTATGCAGCCAATGGGATCCTGCAGAAGCGGTCATGTGACACTCACCGAGCGGCTGCGGGTCCATGATGAGCGGGTGGTCACCGCTGAGCGCTCTGGTGTCGCCGATCTGGATCAAGACAGCATTGCGCTGGTTCTCCTCGCTGTCGCTGTCGTCTTTCTTCAGCAGGTTTTCTGTGTTACTGACCAGACACCTGATCCCACAACCCGGCACGGCCTGGAAATCTGTACAGGTGCCGAGAGACTCCGTACCCAGCTCCTGAACACAGAAGAGGCATTGTGAATCTAAATGCTTTGTGACTCTTATGCAAATCAAGCACTGATACAGGAACTGATGTTTAAAACAGTCACAAAATACTGAAACATTCTGCACTTGTTTAGACACAACAAATATATTATTTATTTATTTACATATGCTGCTGTTTAAAAGTTGAAAGAAGTTTCTTATGCTCAGCAAGGCAAGCACAAATACAGTAAAAATGGCAATTTAGCTAAATATTTTTACAATTTAAAATAGCTGTTTTCTATTTGAATATATGTGACCCTGGACCACAAAACCAGTCAATTTTTTGACTTATACAGCATCTGAACGCTGAATAAATAAGCTTTCCATTGATGTATGGTTTGTTAGGATAGAACAATATTTGGTTGAGATACAAATATTTGAAAATCTGGAATCTGAGGGTGCAAAAAAATCTAAATATTGAGAAAATCATCTTTAAAGTTGTTCAAATGAAGTTCTTAGCAATGCATATTACTAATCAAAAATTACGTTTTGATATATTTACAGTAGGAAATTTACAAAATATCTTCATGGAACATGATCTTTACTTAATATCCTAATGATTTTTGGCATAAAAGAAAAATCGATAATTTTGACCCATACAATGTATTTTTGGCTATTGCTACAAATATAGCGACTTAAGACTGCTTTTGTGCTCCAGGCTCACATATTTTATGTACTTTTTTCTGTTTTTTCAAAGCTGAATTTTCAGCATCATTACTCCAGTCTTCAGCGTCACATGATCCTTCAGAAATCTCAAGATATATTTCTGATTATTACCAATGTTCTTTGATAAATAGAAAGTAAAAAAAAAAAAGGTATCCAATGACCCTAGTCTTGCATGTAGATACACTTTAGTTATGATAATTATGGCTTAAAATGTACTGTAATTTTTCTTTTAAATAAAAAAAAGTAAATGTATCATATATTTTCATAAGTTTATATGTCATTAGGCAACAGTTTTAGAAATTAAAATGTTTTGCAAACTAAAATGATATTTATCAGTAAATAAATAGCTTTAATAATTACATAATAAAATGTATTGTTTTAAAAACTACGGCTTTTTTGTTTTCTTAAATGATGTAGTACAGCTGTTGCATTTTATTTACATAATATCTTTTATTTAATGTGTAACTTTAAAGGGACAGTTCACCCAAAAATTTAAATTGTCATCTTTTACAAACCCTCAAATTGTTCCAAACCTGTATTTGTTTCATTTTTCTGTTGAACACAAAAGATAATATTTTGAAGAATGTTGGTAACCAAACGGTTGCCACGGCTTCCACAGTATGGAACAAAATACTATAGAAGTCAATGGGGACCAGAAACTGTTTGGTTA